GTGGGTAGGGCCCTTATAGGATTGGTGTCTTCATAAGCAGAGGAAGAGACACCAGAGATTCGCTCTCTACACACAACCACAAAGGCAAGGCCATGTGAGCACACATCAAGAAAGTAGCCATCCACAAGCCAGGAAGACAGCCTTCACCAGAAACCAAATTTGCTGGCACCATGATCATGGACTTCTAGCTCTACAACTTTTTGAAAATAACTGTCTGTTGTTTAAGCTGCCCACTCTGTTGCATTTTGTTACAGCAGCCTGAGCTGACTAATATGGAAGGTCATCTTTTAATTGTTTGCTCTCCTCTTGTAGCCTCTGAACTTCACTTGCAACTTCCTACCTTCATCCATCTCTTAACTTCAGTGTCCTCCCAAGTTGGGGAAATCAGAGATTTAGACATTGTGGTGTTTCTGTCTTTAATGCAGTTGTGGATTTCTTTTATTTCTGCAACATGTAATTTATTATTTTCTGCTAACCATTCAAACACACCGAAGTTTTGGATCCATGTCTTCTGGTTTTGGCTTTGGTCATGTTGCTTCTATTGCTATCAGAAGTGTCAGTGGGAGCAGACACAGATTGGACCCTAAATATGTGTTTACTTTGCTCACTGGGATCCTAACTGGAAGGATGTAACATCACAGATGCATCAAACCCTCTTCTGTACCAATGTGGTGTCAAGATCTTTACTTTAAAACATGCTTTCAATCTGTCAGATTGCCAAGTTTTAGGATGATGGTGACAACTTTGATGAACGGCCTCAGAATTTGAGCTTGTGCCTGTGCCTTGATGCTCAGGACATGCTCCATCTTCATCATATTCATCAAAAGCAAGGGCATCACTGCGAGGGAATCCCTGAGAGTTCACCTTTAATAATAATAATAATAATAATGATAATAATAATAATAATAGTAGTAGTAGTAGTAGTAGTAAAAAGCCTGTCTTGGTGGATCATTTATGGGAAGAGGGGGCTGTGTATTCTTCTTGCATCAGTACATTTATTTTAGTTTCCTATTAATTCTTATAGTTTTTCAGTTCATTCTTCTTTTTTCTTAGTATATAATTATACCATCTGCAAATGAGGATAATTTTGCATTTCCTTTCTAATAATTATACCTCTTATTTCAGTTTCATACCTTATGGCTTTGATTAGTGCTTTCAGAACAATTAGATAACAATGATAATAATAGGCATTTTTGTTTTCCACCTGATTTTAATTGGATATTATTAAAAATGAAGTCCGCCATTGATTTGAGATGAATATTGTTACAGAAACAAAATATGTTACTGAAATTTTATATGTGAGTTCAAAAAGATAGTTAAAAATAAATGAGTGTAAATTTTTTCTAGATTTTTTCTGATTTTATTGAAATTACCGAATGTTTTTTTTCTTTCTGACCTATTGTAGGAAGTAGGACACTAATTGTTTTCCTAATAATCAACTAATTTTGTATAATGCACATGATTTTGAATACAAAATGGATAAACCAGACCACCCTCTAAGGAACGTTTAATCACTAAACATGTTGAACACATTTCTGCCCTGTAAAAGATTTAAATTCAACTATGATCCCAATCAGCAAGCTTCTCTTCCCACTAAAGGGAACAAATTATAATCCTTTCAACTGCTGCAGTAAATAGAAAACAGACTGCTGATTATACAGAAAGAGGAAAAACAGACATAGGACAGAGCATGCAGATTAGAAAGGAGCCATTCCCCCCTCAATACTAAGTAAATAGAAGCAGGCATTTTGCAAAGTGCATTAAAGGGAACAGACTGCTGTAGAAATCAATTGATAAAGACTTGTCAACTAAAACAAACTTTGAGCAATTACATTAGCAAATAATTAGAATAATGTGTAAATAGTAGTAAGAACCCTGCAACAAAGGAACCACATGGATCCGTGTCTCTTCCTTTTGTGCCCATAGCATTCTGGGCTTATCTCTATTATTCAGTAGTATATTTAGTATCAGAAAGGATACTACTGAACAACAGGACTTATGATTGCAGTTATGAGAAATAATTTAATGGCATTAAGCAGGAAGTGCCCTGACACTTTACAGTGGGAGAATATTTGTCTCCAGCTGAGACTCCAGCAAGTAAACAATGATTCCTGTCCAGAGGAAATCTATTTAACTCTCCCTGTATTAAAAGCGTAAAAGAAATTCATGCACAGAAAGAACTCTCATCATGGCCAAAATGCAGCAGGCAGAGCCACTGAGTGGAAGGTGACTTATCATACATCATAGTTACTGGAAGTTTCCATATGGAGCTGGCACCCTATATAATATATTGAAAAGCCAATCCCATAAGAAACAAGTGATAAAGATTTGGAAAGAAGTATCCTGTAGTGAAAAGATGGTGGGAGTTAACATCAGGGAGCTGAATCTTGGTTGAGATATTTCTACATGTCCATGAGCAGTTACATAAAATCTGAGACTATTTTTCTTCATCTGTAAAAAGGATATAATAATATTCACCTTGAGAAGATATCAGAACTATTTGAAATGTGTATGTTTAGCACAGGGCCACATATGGTAAGTATTCAATAAGACATGGTTTGTTACTTTATTATTATTGAAGCAAACCTAGAGAAATATAACAGATACTTCAAAATATATTTAGATAGAAATGAAGACCCTGACACAAAGAAGTGACATTTTCAGGACAGAACACTGTGGGGCAAGAATGTGGAACATAGAAAAATATGAATAAAACTTGGGAAAGAGAACCTCAGTATGCATGAGGGTGGGGAGGGAAGGCTCTCCCCTAAGCTCTTAGTCAAAATTAGTCCCTCAGGGAGGAAAATGGGAAATTTGTATCTGAGTACACAATACATATTTTACAGGTATTTGAATTTATGTTCATGTTAAGGTATGCATTGTTTCCTTCTGAAGTATGGGATCCACAATTCTCAAGGAATCTTCTCTTGATCTCCATAAAATTCCATGTTACATAACCACATACAGAGACAGCCTCAAAAGAGACCCCAGAAATTCTGGAGTCCAGCATGAGCAGAATGAGTAAGCAGTACCTTTTACAGAATAATGTTTTAATAACACTCATTTTTGCCTGGCCAGATTATGTATCTTAACACATCACCTTGTATTTTATGTGTTTGTTTCAGTGCCTGTGACTACTCATTTAACTGTGAGTTCCCTGAAGGCAGGTACAGTTTTGCTCACCCTTGTGTTTCTTAACATCATGCACGACAAGCAGAGCTGCCTTAGGGCCACAGTAGGACTTAGACACTTTTTAGAAGCACCGCCTCACATCATTTGAAACATGTTAAATTTTAAGAGCCACATTATGGCTCATTAAAATGATTATTTTTACTATAAAATTTTAAAGATATTTATAATTCTATTTTTGGAATTTGGCTATAAGCCAAATACTTTATGATTGGTGCTAAATTCTCCACAGTGTCATAATGCACACCCAGGAATTCTTGCAAAGTGAAATAATTTAATAACAAATAGTTTTCAATGGTTATGAAATTTTAATGGAAATGAACCTTAACAATTAATGAGGTTGGAACAATGTTAATTTTGGTAGACATTTAAACATTTATCTAGAAACAATAAATGCTGGAGAGGGTGTGGAGAAAAGGGAACACTCTTGCACTGCTGGTGGGAATGTGAATTGGTACAGCCAGTATGAAGAACAGTATGGAGGTTCCTTAAAAAACTACAAATAGAACTACCATATGACCCAGCAATCTCACTACTGGGCATATACCCTGAGAAAACCATAATTCAAAAAGAGTCATGTACCAAAATGTTCATTGCAGCTCTATTTACAATAGCCCGGAGATGGAAACAACCTAAGTGTCCATCATCAGATGAATGGATAAAGAAGATGTGGCACATATATACAATGGAATATTACTCAGCCATTAAAAAGAAATGAAATTGAGTTATTTGTAGTGAGATGGATGGACTTAGAGTCTGTCATGCAGAGTAAAGTAAGTCAGAAATAGAAAAACTAATGCCGTATGCTAATGCACATATATATAGAATCTAAGGGAAAAAAAAAAAAGGTCATGAAGAACCTAGGGGTAAGATGAGAATAAAGACACAGACCTACCAGAGAATGGACTTGAGGAAATGGGGAGGGGGAAGGGTAAGCTGTGACAAAGTGAGAGAGTGGCATGGACATATATACAATACCAAACGTAAAATAGATAGCTAGTGGGAAGCAGGTGCATAGCACAGGGAGATCAGCTCGGTGCTTTGTGACCACCTAGAGGGGTGGGATAGGGAGGTTGGGAGGGAGGGAGATGCAAGAGGGAAGAGATATGGGAACATATGTATATGTATAACTGACTCACTTTGTTATAAAGCAGAAACTAACACACCATTGTAAAGCAATTATACTCCAATAAAGATGTAAAAAAAACCCCATTTATTATTTTTAATTTTTCTGGGCTATTTTCTTTTTAATATTTTGGAATCAATGATTTTTTTTTCAGTTCTTAAATATTGTCAATGACCTTTGAAGGGCCAGAAGGCATACTGGTACACCATGGAGTAACCAGCACTGATGGCATAAAGTAGTTGGCCAATTAGTATTTCTGGATTAGATTGGTAATTTGAGAATATACACACGCCACTGGGTATTAGCCAAAGCCACAGCACGGTTTATGGTGCAGTTTTATTTAGTGCTGTCGCTACTAAGCCATTTTACACATAGCAGTGGTTGGCTATGTCAGTAATAATGTTGGCAAGTTGAGAAAGCAGCATTTCTAGAACAAGAGGGTTAAGTTCACTGTCAGAACAGGCCAGAGGCTGAAGTCATCCCATAGATGTCAGCAGGGGGAAACCCACGTGAAAGCCGACAACCAGAAGTCAAACACCCTCAGATTTTGGAGAGAGAAGTCGGGCCTCACACATATTGGCAATATTAGAGCCAGGCTTTGTGGCTGATACTCATAAAAGGAGAGAGAGCTGCCAGGTGGACTCACAAACATTTCTCTGATTCCACTTTCTCTAGGGAGACCTACCTTGACAACCCCTGCTCCCCAGACCGAGTGTGAATGACTGCAATGAACAGATGCTCCTGAGCACAGGAGGCCATCTTATTCCTCAGATGTACTGTAACAGAAAGAAAACAACAACCTGAAATAGTTGAGAGAGACATTCAAGAGAGCAGCTGGATCAATCCTAGGGTGAGATGGCTTGTGTTTGCTTAGTCACCATCACCCTGGTGGCAATTCTGTCACTCTTAAAGAGCCTTTACCTGTCCACACAGGACCTCTAGGTCTCAACTGGGTCACTATCTTCCCAGGAAACAGTACTGTATTCAAGACTGCACTGTCATCTCTAGGCAGGCTGGAAATAGATTTGAGTTTTAAAGCCTATCTGGATGGATATGATTCGTAAAACCTCTGATTTTTGCACATCGGATTATACTTTCAGGATCGTTCCAGGGTGAGAATCCTAAACACTAGACTTGGAACAGAGTCTAGGTAGATTGCTATTTACAACTGAAAATTTCATTTGCCTTAATGATTCCCAAGTATACCTGAACCTTAACTGGATATCTAACTAACTCCAAATTATGCTTGAATTGCATCAATTATTCAACATTTTTCTTAAAGTGTGATGAGTACAGAATTACCAGTCATCTGTTGGCAGAAAGTTAAGACCTGTACAAAATACATCTCTCTTGGCAATATGTCTCCAGAAATTTGATAATCATATGCATGTTTGGATGCTCTCTTACTAAAAGCTTTTGTGAGATACACAAATGGCAAGTATTGTGTTATAGCTGTCATACTTTAGATAAAATGACCATGTTGCTGGAGCAGAATTAACTAGTCCAAAGATGCTAAGCCTTAGAGAAGAGGGCTAGAAGCTAACATGCATTGAGGATCTACTACGTGTTAATAAGGTCTCTCTCTCCTTCTCACTCTATAGATACAGATAAAGATACATCTTTTGTAAGCATTGCCTCGCAATTCTGTTTGTCTGTAACTCTGACCTCTTTCAAAGCAAAATCTGGTACCATGTATAACACAAATAGGATTCTAGATGATTTTGGAGCACTTTCTTATTTGCTTAATAACTTTCAGTGGCTCCCTATCTCCCATTGGATCAAGTTTGAATAATTCTGCCTGCTTTTCAAGGTCCTCACTGGTCTCCCTACCCAGCCAGTCTTATTTCTTTTTCTTTCCCACATATTCCCTCTGAGCAACGTGGATCAGTATTTGCACTGACCTGTAAACATATCCTCATTGCCACCTCCAAGGTTCTTTCTTTCCTCTTCTGTCACCTATGCAAATTGTCACCAATTCTTCAAGGATCCCTTCACAGTTCATCATTTAGCAGAGTTCAGTGAGCAGAAATGCTACGGACTTTTGTTGTTGTCATGTTGTAACATGATCTTACCTATAATACAGTAATTCACAAAGCATGGATTTAAAACAATGACATTGTAATGAAGTCAGTGGACATTTATGGCAAAGGAAGCTTTGAGGCTTTATCTCTTTAAAATAAAGCAAAACACATAGCTGAAGCTGAATTGCAAATTACAACTCTAAGTCCTTTGGAATTTAAGGGGTAGCATTTTTCATGAGACCTTAGGTCAACAATGTGGCATTTAATCCTCCACTGAACACTTGAACATAAGCTTGACAAACTCCATTTTTAAAGTTATCAAGTTCTGAAATACAGTCAGTACACAGTATTTGAATCTACGGTGCTACCATCTCCATAATAAATAAAACTTGAGGGGTAAATAAAATATCCACCTTCTTTTTCTTTTCATGAAGGGAGACTGCTCTCCAAAACTGCTCTATAATTCAGAATAAGACTCATAGAGATTAAGCATAATAGTTCATATTTTCTTTATGGGCATTACAAGTAAGCGTAACTATCAAAGTCATACAACTTTTTAGTTTTGAATGACATTCATTGTTCAGCAAAGGTTTTCCACACTATGGTTTTATGAAATCAGGCAGTTGTCAGAATTATTTATGGAAAGTTTCTTATATTTAAGGATTTTAAGCATAATTTTTAAAAATATCATTTTATGAAGATTTAAGATAATGAACACCAAATGAAATGACCCATTCTTAGGTAAATAGAAAAATACAGTGCAATTATACATGTCAGATGATCAGGTTTGAATCTGCTACTTTTAATCTAAGGTTGTTGATCTGATAAGAATTTCCTTCTATATAATCTAAAGTTACTTTTCAGTTAAAAAAAAAAAAAATCCAACAAGGAAACACAGGCCCTGTGCTAGGTGCCAAGTGGTCAAAATCAGACACAGTTTCTGTCCTAGAGTTTTCAGGTTTGTGGAGAAGACAGACATGATGTACCAGGAAAGTAATAGCAAAATTAGACACGTTTCTGCCCTCAAGGAACGAGGCTACTGTTAGGGAGGGACAGTACTGTGTAAGTAAACAAACAAATACATCATTCCAAATCACAGTTGATCTTATGGAGAAAACATAGTGTACGGTGATGAAGAACAACAAGGAGAGGGACTAATTTAGACAAAGAGTTAAGAGGTGCTTTTCTTAGGAGAGACACGTGTGCTGAGGGCTAAAGTGTGAGAAAGATCCAGCCATTTAAAGAGGTGTTAGGGAGACGCAAAAGCATGTATAAAGGTCCTAAAACAAACAAACAAAAAGGTCAGTTTGTTCAAAGATCAGAGTGCATGCCACAGTAGCTAGAACAGAGGATGGAAGAGAAGAGAGACATGAAATAAATTTATAAAAGATAGACTGCAGTCAGATCATCAGAACCATATAAGAAGTATCAAGGAATTTGAATTAGATCCTATGTACAATGGGAGAGCATAAAGGGGGACAAAAATGATTTAAAGTTTAAATTGTTCCTCTTGGCAAATAAATAGACTGTGAAAGAAGGAAGTCCAGTTGGACACTATTGCTGCCCTCCAAGGAAGAAGAAAGAGCATATTGTACTAGAGAGAAAGATAGAGAAATAAAGACCTGAGGTAGATTTCGAATCTAGACTCAAAGAATCTGTTGCTAGATTGGCTGGGGCAATGCAGAGGATTAAGAAAAGTAAATTAAGGATGACGCCCAGGTTTCTGGCTTAAGCAACTAAGTGGATACTACTGACATCTACTGAGTTGAGGAAGTTTGAAAGTAGAATGAAATTTAAAGCAAGGTGGGGTGAGATAGAGAGGAATTCAGCTGTAGTCACAGAGATTTTGAGATGCCTGTGAGATATTCTTTTTGAAATGTCAGGTGGGCAGTTAAATAGGTATATGAGGATACATTTGAAATGGGCATAATTGAGGGGTCCTCAGTCTGTAAATGATGAATAAAGTAATAGTAATAAGCAGTATCACCAGAAGAGAAAGGGTAAAGAGAGAAGAGAAGGGGATCCAAGCCCAAGTTCCAGGGCAAAAAGTAAAAGTAAGTTAAGAGACTGAGAAGTGGCCAGTGAAATCTGGGACACCAGACATCAAGCAAATTAAAAGAAGAGAGTGTTTCAGGATATGTGTTGTATTACTGAGAAGTCAAGTACTCTTGGCTTTTACTCATTTATGGATTAACACCTGGGGGTTTATTTTAAAAGGTAAATAATGTTATCAAAATAACATCATGTAACAGTAATAATAATTCAGATAGAGTTGGTAAGCTACTTCCACATACATTATCTGACTTGATCCCAACAATAAGTATATTTTATTACTGATTGCATTATACACTTAAAGACACTGGGGCTCTTGCGAGCAACTAATATTTAATAATAAATTCAACAAGTATTGTGAACTCCTGTTGTGAGAGGCAAGTTCTAGACTCTGCAGATATATCTGTGAACAAAAGAAATCACTCCCCAGTACTCACAGGGACAGTATCCTTTGCAATGATTATAGAGTACCACACAAGGCTAATAATTATTAAGAAGTGCAGAGTTTTGACTGCCGAGGTTCACTTTCTAAAATCTTAATTACATTTTATTAACAGTTCAGTAGTGGTAGGTATATTCTAATTGTTGTGCAAGAGGTTCACTTTTTTGAATTCTTGTTACTGTGTTGAATACAAAAATAATACAAGTTTTATGTATTTGAAGACATACTACATTTAGTAAACTAAATATATATGGTTACTCTATGTCAATATATGACATATTGGGGGAGCATCTATCTGCATCTTAAACCTTTCAGAAATCTTACTCACAGAGTTCTTTTTTTTTTTTGCGGTACGAGGGCCTCTCACTGTTGTGGCCTCTCCCGTCGCGGAACACAGGCTCCAGACGCGCAGGCTCAGCGGCCATGGCTCACGGGTCCAGCCACTCCGCGGCGTGTGGGATCTTCCCAGAAGGGGACACGGGTTTGTTCCCCGGTCTGGGAAGATCCCACACGCCGCGGAGTGGCTGGACCCGTGTCCCCTGAATCGGCAGGCGGACTCTCAACCACTGCGCCACCAGGGAAGCCCTCACAGAGTTCTTAATGATAGCAATGTTTGCCAAGATAAAAGCATGAAAATCTGTCCTGTTTGTGTCTGACCAAGTCCTTATCCATTTGGGCATTGTCCTGATAGTCTATCAAGGCAGTCATTGGAACATATGGGTTTCCTGAGCTCCCATACATATTCTCTATTTTGTTTTCATGGATTACCGTAAGTTTTAGAACTACTTTGACAAAATGCAAGGTTGCTAAGTTTGTGCTTTTTCAAACAATGCAGAAAAAAGAAATATCAACATATTTAATAGCATATACTTTATCTTCATTTTCTTATCCTCTTTTCCTTTAGGAATTTATTCCTGTCTAAAATAATATATGATTCCACAAAAAATGTGGCATCTTATCTGTGAAAGAGTTAGATAACATTAGCGCTTGGTGGATTTATCAATATGTCTGGCACTTAAGAGATTTATGTGTGGGTCATTATGACAGGACATATGTAACATTGATTTTTGTGGCTGGATTCATGCTATCTGGACTTGACTGTATAATCTTGTGTAAGAGCCGCTGACCCTCTGAAAAACTGCTTTGCATTTGTGCTTCTGTTTTGGATAAAATCCATAGTTTAGATTTCTTTGCCCTTCAAAATGACCATGATGGTATCTGTGGCTTTTTTTTTCCCCTTCTGGAATTTACTTTTACTGAAGAACACTTTCTTTTTAAGAAATGAATTTCACTCCTGCCATGACTGAATCATTCTTAAAGCAACTTCAGTTTTACAGAGAGATTTTTGTTTTTCTTCCTTGGCATTTCATAAGGTTAAAGAAGACCTTAATGATAACCTTTGTGTGCAGTACCTACAGTCTGCAGTCATTGGTACATGAGAGTAGATGAATAACTACGTTATTTCCACTAAAAAAAAAAAAAGACTTAAAATTCTATTGAAGCAAGTGTGAGCCAGACCAATGTTTCTCAGGGTGGTGGCATTATCCTACAGGGGAAATTTTTTTAAGCATGGGCTATTTTGGCTTGTCATAACAAGACTGGGCACCACTTGTTTTTCATGAGAGAGAGACAAAAATGCTGTGTGTTCTATAGTACACCAACCAAGAATTGTTCTACGTCCCACATGACTTTCAAATGTCCTGCTGGTCATTTACATAGACAAAAATCTGTTTATAATCTGAGCCTAGAATCTAAGTAAATTTTACAGTAAGCACAGTGTATTTTACATAGTTTTCCCTATAGAGATTTTTCCAGGAACGCCAGTACTAAGCAAATTGTGGAAATATTTTATTTTGCTTTATCTGGACTTTAACAAAGAATTGTTTATAATTTCACAAAATCATATCCCTGACAGCAATGTCACTTGTGACTTTTGAGTCACCAATATAACCAATTCAACACACCTGCATCAACCTGTATTTGGAACAGTCACATGTCTGGAATTCCATGTATAGATGCAAGCATCCCACAACTTCATTTTATTTTCTTGTGTAGTCATGACTATTTTCATATTACAATGCATATTATTTCACTTAAATTTATTTCATTTGTTTTTCTTTTATAATAAAAACAGATCATTATATTGGTTTTTTAATATTACACATAGGATATAGTATCTACAATTTAATCTTGAGATTAAAAAGGAGCATTACAAAACATTTGTTATACAAAGGGTTATTGGTTGAACACTAGAGAGAACTTTTGACTTCTGAAACTTATGAGATAAGGGGAACTGTATTATCTCCTGTCTAAAGGGTTTTAGATGCTGTTATTCTGGACAAATTACAGCAGCTTCCCCACCAACTATTTGAGAGCACTGACTAGTTATATTGAAGAGATGTACACCAGGAATTCACCCTTTAGCATCTCTGTATATATGATAGATACAATGGTTTGTTTCATAATGGTCCTGAGAATGAGAGCTACTACCCTGATCTCTTGGATCAGAGCACAGCCTAGAATAAATGTCATTGTAATATAGTGAGAAAACATATCA